AAAGACAATCTTGCGAGTTTCTAATAACGAATATCTATACTTTATGGATTTGGAGATCTAAGCACACACATTTAAGATCGTTTCGAGCTTGATAAAGATATATATCAAAGTGCGATATATAGATATATTCTAAAAGGCTTCCAAGATCAATAATCACACATTCAAGATCTTTTCCCCTTTTGACATTGATAAAGCTTATATATACTTGGAAGATCTCTATGTTACATAGTTAAAGACAAATTTCGAATACCCTTAGGGTACAGAAAACACACAACAAAGTAATGAAAACTTCACGTGGTCTTTGAACCGACATTAATAATGCCGTAAATTGATCTTAAATTTGATGGAATTAGTCATAGGGCGGCTTAGCTAAATTTCATTAATCACACACGCACACACACACATGTATAATACTTGTTTTGTGGTTTGCCAATTGCGGTTGTTGCTAAGATGAGACCTTATCAGGGCTCGACAACTTGACATGTGTTTATGGAACTAAAAACGTGGCATTTAATTACATTGAACGCGTCATTTCTTAAACAAAACAAAACTCGTTTATTACAATGCTAATATATATTAATCTTACAACTATTTGCATTTGTATGCGAATTCAAAATGGAATGCAAAAGTATTAAGAAAATGCGAATTTAGATAAACAATTGCGCAGGACCGAGTTTGAGCCTTGGCGGCGAAGTTTCTGGTTCAAACTCAGTCTCAAATATTTTTAGTGAACTTATTTGACCTATTGCCAAATCACTTAAGAGCCCAGCTGTAAAATGGGAGACAAAGGGGTTTATAAACGGAGCTTATAAGCAAGTCGCAGCAGTTTTTCAAATTCCACCTGTAAAGGTGAAAACTGAGCAGAAACTCATTCTATGAACGCGTTTTTTTGAGCGCTTTCAGCGGTTTTTAAAAATTCCATATATAACTGTGAAAAGAAAAAGACGGAAACCAATGCAACGAAAGTTTTTTTTTGAGCAATTTCAGCGTTCTAAGCAAATTCACCTGCAACTGCGGAAAACAAGTGGAAAATCATTCTAAGCGCGTGTTTTGCTTAAAAGTTTTTAGCACTGTCAGAAATTCCACCTGTAGCTGTGAAAAATGAGTGGAAAACTATGTTATGAAACTTTTTTGCTCAGCGGTTGCAGCGCATGTACAAATTTCACCCGCAATTGTGAAAAACGAGTGGAATACCAATCCAAAAGCGTTATTTGTTTAACAACCGATAGATTTTAAGACTATTTCCTAAGAAATCAATTTCTTAACGTTAAAGAAAATACATTTGGATCGGGCAAAGCTGGGCAATAACCACTTTTTAACATTGTTAAACATTATTATGAATTGTTTTTTCTTCAGTCTCCAGTCTTGCGCTTGCATATATTAAATAACATTGCGCACAGACGACCTTCGCCTGCGCTAAATGCATTCGCAATGCGATACGTAATGCATATCGGCCCATATAAAAAATGGTTATTATATTTATTAGTTTTGTTTGTTTTTCTTTACCTTCGAGCAGTTAGTCAAGTGCAGGGACACGGAATAACGAAGTGTTTATGCTGTGATTGGAGCGCATTTCGAACGACGTGGGCGTCGACTGCATTGCAAATAGTTAACAATAAGCTGCATTTCAATTTATTTATTATACCCTTGCAGAGGGTATTATAATTTTGTCGTGAAATGTGTAACGCATAGAAGGAGACATCTCCGATCTCATAAAGTATATATATTCTTGTTCAGCATCAACAGCCGAGTCGATAGAGCCATGTCCGGCTGTCTGTTTCTATGAAACTCTGCAGAAGTCCCTATTTCTGTTGCACGCAGCACATATGTCAAAACCAGCTGGATCGGACCACTACATCATAGAGCTGCCATAGGAACTATCGGTCGAAAATTAAGTTTTTGTATAAAAAAAATATTTTGTTTTTCAAGATATGTTAACCAAACTCGGCATTTTTTAGTTTTACTATGCTCCTCATATGTATGCAAAATCCTATTAAGATCGGACCACTATATCATATAGCTGCCATAGGAACTATCGGTCGAAAATTAAGTTTTTGTATGAAAAAATATTTTGTTTTTCAAGATATCTTGACCAAACTCGGCATTTATTAGTTTTACTATGCTACTCATATATATGCAAGATCCTATTAAGATCGAACTACTATATCATATAGCTGCCATAGGAACTATCGGTTTTTGTATGAAAAAATATTTTGTTTTTCAAGATATCTTGACCAAACTCGGCAATTTATTAGTTTTACTAAGCTCCTCATATGTATGCAAAATCCTATTAAGATCGGACCGCTATATCATATAGCTGCATAGGAGCGATCGGTCGAAAACTAGGTTTTTGATGAAAAACCTTTTTTGTTTATCAAGATATTTAGAATAAACTCAGCATTAGCTATTTTCCCCGTGCTTCTTAGATACGGGCAAAGCACTATAAGCATCATGAAAAGGTTGGGTCTGCAAGGGTATTAGATCTTCGGCGTGCCGAAGATAGCCTTTCTTTCTCGTTTATTATTATTTTATATGCTTTGTTGTGAGTGTTAAGAGTTTTAACAATTTACATAATTGTTCGTGTTATTGTTATTAAGCGTTGATTGAAGGACAATTTGCTAAATGTGCCACCAACTCGTGTGACTTGAGGTAACGCCGCGCCCCGCCCCTTCAGTACACCTGCTCGCACCTTCCCGGCTGCGGCTTATTTTTAGTCGTGCTAATTGCCGTGCTTTAATATCTGATTAGCACATTTGGCTTATCTAATGAGTTCGGGTTATAACCAACTATCGTATCATGTGTGGCCATTGTCTCTGCATGACTGACACTACCCCGCCTCCCCCCCTCTCCCACCATCCCCTAGGCCCCCTCACCCAGTGTCTGGCCGTGTGGACAAAGTGCTAAAAGGCTAAAAATACTCAAATAACCTGACGCTGATTTGGCTATTCACGTTTTATTTTTATTATTATTTGGTTTATTTCTTTTAACATTCTTTTTTTTTTGCTAACGCGCAATTCTCATCGTCAAATGAAAACAACAACAAAAAGTTTAATTGCAAACGCCGCACAGTGGGATCAAAACCCCAGAAAACATCTTAAAAATATGTATTCGAAATTCTGTTAAATGTTAATCCTATTCATTCAATACAAAAAAATGAAAGTTGCTGAATAAAAAGATGTTTGAAAACCTCAAAAAATGTAACTGGAAATTAAAAATATTTTAAAATAATTTTTATAATAATTATGTAATATATAAAATTTATATAATATATAAAAAAATGCATTAAAAAATCTAATATCTAGAATGTAAGTTTCGGAAAAACTCTACTCAAACGTAATTTTTGCAAAAATTAAAAATTTTTTCTAATATCAAAAAAGATATATTTCTGAAACTATTCTAAGTTATCAAATAATTGAAACTCGAAATATTTTTTGGAATATAAGGAATTAAAATTAGAGAATTAAATATAACAAATACAATTTTTCAGTTATCAGATTATAGATTAAAGATTTTCGATTATAGATTCATTCTAATATCAAGAAGTTATATTTCTGAAACTATGCAAAACCTTTTGATTTTTTGCCACAAAAATTGTATTTCAGTTCCACTGTGCCATTGGCAACATTGTAAACTTGAGTCTCTTGAACTAGCCCACCCCCACGAAACAATTGCGGACGAAACGGCGGATACACTTAGTCAAGCGACGTGCTCAGCCTGGCGTGACTGTGATAATTTGTTTGCATAGTTTATGGTATTTATGAGTAATCCTCGAAATGTCACAACAATGGCGTCATAAGGGCCAGCTAAGCCACAGAACGCCACAAGCCCGAGCTGGCAGCTGATGATGTTATGCGGTTTATTGTGACAACGCCCAAGCCAATGAAGGACATGTTGTTGATGATGGCATAGCTAATATTGAATATTTGTCAGGGATTGACGCAAATAATTTTCGTGCTTAATGTTAATCAAACTAATCAGAACTTGATAGCCGATTAATATAACATATTTTATTAGCTTCGAGTAATGTATAAATCTCTGGAGAAAGCCTTGAAAGAGTTAAGCACTGCTTGTTACGAGCACTGCTTGCCCTTGCACTGCTTGCTAACTATCAGGTGTCATCTTAGCATAAATTTAACTAAAAATTCTCTAAAGTAATTCTCTTTTTGATATTTGATTTCTCAAGTTGTTTTATAGACTTCATTGAAACTATAAAAGCACTAAAAATTTTATGAAAATAAGTGAAAGAATAAAAGTTGACTTAACTATCAGGTGTCATCTCAGCATAATTACAGCTCGAAATACATTAAAGTAATTCTCGTTTCAATACTTGATATTTAAGTTTTCTTAGAGACTTCATTAAATTGGTCTCTAAAATTATAGGGAATGGAAGAAATTTAAATAGGTTTAAAGTTTTAACTATGAGGTGTCATCTCAGCATAGAAATAGCTGGAAATTCTATATTTTATATTACAACCATTTAATATATATATCGCTCGCAAATCAGAATCAAATGGAATACTAAAATACTCCTTTTCAAACTCAAGCTTGGAATATTATTCATATTTTTTTTAGAATATATTTCCTTTTTTTTTTGTAGAAATGGGGCATACAGAAATTTGCATTTTTCTAGAAACTAAGCAATTTAATTTGTCAGTTTTTTAATGGGAAATTGAGGACAAAAACTGAAGCGTAATTAATTTAAAGGCAGCACACTTTGATACCCTTACAAACTGTACGTTGGTTCGTTCGTTTCATGTTTATTCATGCGCATCATTCAATTGATTTGCAGCCTCAATTGAACTTGTTCCACTTGACATCAATCGAGAACTGTCAACAATAGAATATAGACACATATATCGAGGGCCCGTCGCCCAGTCGACAAATTTGTCTCTAACTGAATTTCCTATGCGTGCTATTTGCCGTCGTTTCAATTGAAATTTTCTTTTATTTGTTCGTTAGAAAGAAAAGGGGGCTCGTCTTATAGCTAGGGGCAGACTTACTTCGTACTCTTTGCAGGCCGCGTCGCTCCGTGTTCGACATGTCGCACGTTTGAGCTGCAAGGAAAATGACATCATAAGAATTTCGTATTAGAATAGTTATTATATATGATTTATGGTAATGATATCATGTGTTGTGCATGTCTGAACGCCAAGCTAATGAAACTATGCCCCTGGCCGATATCTTATCTTAACTTAAAGCTAACTCGCACAACTCGTCTCGTGTACGCCAACTGTGACCCGAAACGTGCTCGATAACATATTGAGTGTATCTACCTGTAGTTGCCAGTGCAAACAGTTACAACAGATAGCGCCAAAAGGAAGTTCACAGATAACGTCGGGCCACATGATACAATTTAAAGAATGAACGCGCTGCTCATTCACAACTAACAAATCCAGATAAAGGTAACTTAGCAGGGTCTAGAGTCTAAGCGAGCGGGCCTAGAGTCTGCTTATCGTGAATGTGGCCCAAAATCAAATGCAAGCACTAAATATAAAGTAGAACCCTATATATATGCACTAATAAATCCATGAATATAATTGTTATCTCTGATAGTTTTACTGGCGCCATTCATAAATCACACCTGCTGTCAGCAAGCTGAGGCAATATGCAGGAGATAAAGCTGGAAAGGAATGGACTAGGACTGAAGCAGGTTTCCAATTTAAGCATATCCGAGATATAGCTTAAGGCAATATGGAACTAAGATATCAAAACTTCTGAATATAGGAATTTATCCAAAAAAAAAAAAGTGGACTAAGACTTGAAGAAGTTTAACATTTAGCTCAAGGTGATATGGAACTAAGATATAAGAATTCATCCAAAGAACAAGTAAGAGGTTCTAGTCGGGAGCTCCCGACTAGGAGATACCCTGAACCCTCTTCTTCCAACATCATATGCATATATATATTCTATTTTAGAAGCTATATGTCAAGTTTGCTGACTCTAGCTCTTAATATTTACCCAATCTGCTCAAAAAACAGGATATCGATATCGATTTTTATCGATTGCTTGGAAACGGAGTAAGTTATCGATTATCGGAAACAAACTCGATCTGCGCGGGAACTATGAGCATCTACATCTAGTCTCTGGCTCTTATAGGTTCTGAAATCCTTGCGTTCATACATACGGACGGACAGACAGACGGACATGGATAGATCGACTCGGCTATTGATGCTGATCAAGAACATATATACTTTATGGGGTCGGAGATACTTCCTTCTGCCTGTTACATACATTTGGATTTTGCACAAATACAATATACCCATTTTTATTGGGTTTAGGGTATAAAAAAATGGTCTAGGACTTAAGGAAGTTTAAAATTTAGCAAAAGACAATATGGAACTTAGATATAACAACTTGTGACTTTAAGAGTTCTTTCGAGTATTCAAAAGCTGGCATCTGTTCTGGCCAGGCTCAAACCTAAACTCAGCTTGAGGCAAGAACTGGAATCTTAAACCTTCTTGTTCCTAAGTCTTTCGCCCTCTTTCCGCCTGCCAATGAATTAATTTAGAAGTCAACTCTTAATCAAACTTTGTGTGAAATTCTGCCAGTCACTTTATTTAAATTTCTGCTATATTTCGCTCAGTGCACAAGTATGCAAATTGTTTTTGCTGTGTGCACATGTTTAAGCTCAGACTGCATAATAATCAGTGTCAAGTTCTAAGTTCTGCCCTAGCAACCGACTGCCCGTAAACATATGTATTATCCATTTGCAAAGCAACAGACAACGCGGTCGAGTTTTGTATAGAGTGCAAATATTTGGCAACAAACCGAGCACAAATGCCTCGTTACAAACATCTGACCATATATGTATGCCCCAAACCCATTGCAAGTGGCTGGAAAGGGTATGTAGGGTATATCGACTTGATATATGCTCAATCGGAACGATGTGCGGCTCGATCTGGTCAGACTTTTCTTCCTTTTACATATTATCGATCCAAAAAAAATCGAATATTGTAGAGTATTCAAATATATTTTCAAATATTTGGAGTTTGAAAACTTCCTCTAGTTTTGTCTTTCGATATTTTTTTCCATTTACAAATTATCGATACAAATCGATTTTGAAATATTTGATTTTTTGGAAACTTTCTTTAGAGACTTCTTATTCCTTTTTTATTTAAACCAAACTTTTTCGATATCTTCTAACACTTACAAATTATCAATAGAACCTTGCACTTTGATATACACACAATTTTCTATGACAGAAGATATTCAAGAAAATTTCATAAAGATCGGACTATAAGCACCGAAGCTAATGCGGGAATGCATTTTTCATTGTGTGAAACTAGGAATATCAGAAGTGCAGCATGGAAAACTTCACAGTGCCCAGGGTATCGGCTAGTCGAGCACTCTGACTTGTGCTATATGCTCTAGCTATATATGTAACTGTCCTGTTGTCCTTGTTAGACATGATTATACCACAGCGTGTGTTGCCATGTTATTAGACGCATAAAACGCGGCGTCTCTCATTCGATGTGCTTATAATTAAATATACTTATAATTGTACAATTGTGTGACTTGGCCATTGGCTACATACGACATATGTATGTCTGTATGTCGATATGTCGGTATGTCTGTATGTCTATATGCGGGTATTCAGGCATTCGTCTGCCCATTTCGAATCGTACGTCATCTGCTGACTAAGGCCTCATCTATATACATTTATATATATATATATATTTATCTATCTGTGGATAAGTATTTTGCTGCTTAATCTTCTTCAACTTTTACTGACAATATAAATAAATAATTACAGAAAAGTATCTTAAAGATACTCCACACAAAAATGTAAATGTAAATACATTTTATCTTAAAGTATCTTAAGTATCTTTAAGATACTTTTCTTGATAATGTGCTTTCAATAGAAACGTTTTTCTTATCGTATTTAATTGAAATTTCTGCAAACTTTATCTTATCTTAATTGCAATTAAAGCCTTGTTCAGCCCACAAAAAACTTATTTTATTGATGGAAGTTCAATTTAATAATATATATATTTAAGAAATGTCATTAAATTGAAATTGTATTTAATTCAATTTAATTGACTTTGCTTAAACACTTAAATATTTTATTTTAATTGTCACTTAAATATTTAATTTAAAATTTTTTATTTTAATTTAAAGAAAAACTCACTAAAATAATTTGTTCAAAATTTGAAAATTCATTTAAAAATTTTTAACTTTTGTGCACTTAAAAATTTTTAGAAAAATTTGAATTTTTCTAAAATCTTTCAACAGCTCTCATAATTTTTTTGAGAAATACTTGTGAAAATTAAAAAAATTTTTGAATTTAAACAATTATTTGAAGAATTTTTAAGTTTTTTTGTTACAAAATTAAAATATTTAAAAGTTGTTTATTTTTAATCACATTTCTTATTTAAAACAAGTTTATTTACGAAACATTTTTTTTTTTTGAACTTCCATAAATAATAATTTAAATAATTTATATTTTCTTCTATTTATTTTCCACTATTTATTTTCAAATATTGCATTTTGTAATTTTTTAAACATTTTCAATATATACTTATATTTTTTTAAATTTAGTTTTCAAAACTTCCCACAAAAAACGTTCGCCATGAACTCCAACTGTTAATAATTAAAAAAAAATTTACTAATTAAGCCCGCAAATTCTTGGAATTTAAAAGTATTGAACAGCCGCGCCACTTAAATGAGGCAAAAAAAAAAAAACAATGGATTTCCTGGAAATCTAGAGAAACATAAAAATACATGTTTTTGTCTATAGTTGGCACTCACCTGGAACTTAAGGATGTTTAAAAACGTGAATTGTTTACAGCTAGCTCTGTAATTAGCACAGTTTAATTATTTTACAGTTATTTCACACAGTTTCCAAAACAGAATGCGCGACAACAACAAAAATCACGCGCGTTTTTTCTGTGAAGGATTTTTTGTTTTCTCTGGATGTCACTGTCACACTTACATGCACACACACACACACGCACACGAACACGCACAGAGAGAGAGGGAGAGAGACACGCACGCGTTGTATTACACCAATTAAATGTACATAACAGTAGTTTTACGTTTGCTGTTTTTATCTCTTCTCTTTTGCTTGTTACAGTTATATTTTGTTTGTCGGTCTTCTTGAAAATAGTTTTATTCTCAAAAATGTTGTTGCGGCAGCTGTTTTATTTTAGTTTTGTATAGCACTTTGAGCGCAGCGCATGCGCAGGCAACATTTAATTTTAAGCTAATTTTCTTGAGACGATTTCGAGCAGCAAATTTTCGAACAGTTGACAGCGGGCGGCGTCTGAGTTGCGCCTCTGGCTCTTTGCCTTTGCTTCGGTTTCGGTTTCGGTTTCGGTTAGTCTCTTCTGCTGTTCTGCCTGCGCCTTTGCCAGCTGCTTGACACTCCGATTGTTGGAACTGAACTGAAAATGTTGCCTGCGCGACAGTCGCTTTTTCTTTGCTGCGAGCTGGCGACGCCAGCGCTGTTGACGTCGACGCTGCCGCTGACGCAGACGCCGAAGCTGACGCTGACAGCATTGGCAATGGATCGCGTTTAAGTGTTCGTGCTGCTTCTGCTGCCGCTGACGTCGCTGCCTTAGCTGTTGTTGTTGTTGTTGTCGCCGTCGTGGGATGCAAAATTCAAATTTTTTGTGCTGTTTGTTTTATTTTTGTACTGTACCTTTTTCGGTTGCCCTGATTGCGCAGGGGGGAGGGGGCAGAGCGGGTATGATAGGCCTGTGTAATGTTTGTAATTGCTAAATGATTAACGGAACTGATAGCGTTAGTTTTATTTGTTGCTGAGGTTGTCAAATGGGCGGCAGATGCTATTGAACTTTAGAATCTCTATTTAAATAGATGGGCATATTATATGTTTTTATTAGTATTCGATAGATTGTATTCTAAAAATAGAAAACTAACTAAACTTATTGATCAAATTTACTACTTCATATTGTTGAACTCTCATTTAAAAATTTAGAACAATTTAAACATACTCTAGGGCTTATAGGGTATCGCATAGTCGTTGCGCTTGGCCAGCTTGCGGCTTGGCTAACCTACATATGGGCGCACACGTGTAGATATCAATTCGATTTGTCAGCGCCAATTATCTAGATACAATCGATGCAGTTTAAAGGCTTTTTCCAATTTAAGTTACTTTTATTGATGTTTTGGTAAAGTAAATGAGAGACAAGTCAACGCGAACAACAATCGACAGTATTCTATGTGAACTGTGCAAAGTACTCGAATCATCGATGGGAAGTATGCAAAGTACTCGAATAGTCCATGTGAAGTGCTACAAATACTCGAATACTCGACGGCAGTACTCGAATACTGCATGAGAAGTGTGCTAAGTACTCGAAGTACTCGGTATACGGTGTCAAATCGAGAAGCGCGTCCAACGTTCCACCAGACTGGGCCGCACCACCGTCGTGATACGCTCATCGAAAATGGGCGCAAACTTTTCGGGAAAACTGTGCTGCAGACACTTGATAACCGTGCCGGTTAAATAATAACGGGACGGCCAGCGGCACTCGCATGGCGGTATGCAATGGACGCACGTACTCTGATGGGCGATCCATTTGCTGTGCGTCGCCGGCAGCGATATTATCGACGGCTTGATGCATTTGATGCGCCACGGCAGCCGTGTATCCCGTTCGCGCCATTCGCACTCGCAGGGCGGTATGCAGACATGACAGATCGGATCCTCGATGGTCTGTAACTCCGCCTCGGAGGCGATCTCCGTCGCCGGGGGACAGCGATACATATTGCGGCGCGGCACCAGGGCAATCAGTTCCGTGTATTTGCGTTCACGCTCCCGGCGCAGCCACATCTCGAGCATGTCCCAATGGTCCAGATTGAGGGCACGCTCCCGTATCAGCTGCATGCGCCTGTACAGATCCGAGCGACGCACTGCATCATAGTTGAGGCCGGTCTGCGTGTGCCACAGCAGATACAGCTCGTTGGGATTCTCGTCCGGCAGCGAGATGCTGCGCGAGAATTTCGCCAGCTCGAAGTGAAACAGCATCCGTATGCCGTACGTAATATGCTTGATGTGCTCAAAGTCCTTGATATTCATCGCCGCCAAAGCATCAGCGTCCAGCAGCAGCAGCTTCCTGCCCCAGATCATGTTCACGCGGAACGTGTTCTATGGAGTTGGTAAGAACATTTTCTATACTTAATGTTGATATATATAGCTATACCAAATCTGGTGTCTATAGCTCTTATAATCCTCGAGTTACACTGAGTTGGAAAGACAATTTCCTACACCTAATTGTGATACGTTTTTTTTTTTATAGAATATATATATCTGTATCTCACCATACCAAATCTGGTGTCTATAGCTCTTTTAATCCTCGAGTTATTTTGAGTTGGAAAGAAAATTTCCTACACCTAATTGTGATACGTTTTTTTTTTGTTATATAATATATATATCTATATCTTACCATACCAAATCTGGTGTCTATAGCTATTATAATTCTCGAGTTTTGCTGAGTTGGAAAGAAAATGTTCTATACTTAATGAAATGTTTTATTTTTTATTGAATATATGTATATATAGCTACATACCAAATCTGGTGTGTATAGCTCTTAGAATCCTCGAGTTATGATGAGTAGAAAAGAAAATTTCCTTTACGATATGGTTTAGTTTTGCAAAAAAGTGAAACTGTGTATAATATATAGCTACATACCAAATCTGGTGTATATAGCTCTTAGAATCCTCGAGTTATGCTTAAGAAAGCATTTCTGAAAATCGATATTTATCGATATTTAAAAAAAATGTACTCCATAATGGAAACAAGAGCATATGCATTGCTTACCTAATAGTATAAAAAAGATTCTATTTACGTCTATTCGAAATGATATTACGAGAAGAAACCTAGTTTAATATCTTATAGATCTTTCGAACCAGATCTTATCGAATCAAATTATGAACAAGTGAGTTTTGGGAATTGTTTCGGAACAGATATATTCCCGGAGTGGCATGGAATGGAATGTTAAAATTTCAATAGCGCCCTTATCGGGCGTTCCGGGATCTCACCATATACTGCGGGTAGCCATAGCCTTTGATCCAGCGCCGAATGTCCATGTCGTTCCATTCATAAACCGTGGGCAGGGGCAATTTGTCGACAACATTTACGCACAGCTCGACAAGGGAATCGGGCTGGACCCGAAACTGAATGGGCCAGGCATTACGATCAAATTTCACGTGACCCGCGTTCTGGGGATGGTTGCGGAACTTGATGGGCGGATATTCGTTCTGCTTCTTCTTCTTCTTCTTCTGAATGCCCTTCCCGACCAGGAACTTGGTGTCCGCGATCCCATAAAGATAGGGCATCTCGTGTCTGTGTACGTGTATATGTATTCAGTGTATGAGATATTACTAAACCCAAAATTTTGCTAGACCAGCAAACAGACAGTTTAAAAAAAGCATTGTGTTCCATTGACATATCTAGTCTTGCCTGCTGCTGTTCGATTTACGACAAGTTCGAGAGATCTTTCAAGTAGTTAGGAACGTGCTCGAACCATCTCGTGTTGCATGTGCATACCCTGTTAGCATACAGTGAATGAAAACGGGTGTATTATTAAATTCCACTCTTTTGAGTAAATGACAAGGGGACTTTTTTGATAGAAAATAGATATATATATACACATTCTTGATAGGTCTAAAAATATTAGTTATATATTTAAAGTTCTTAGTATTTTTGTAACCCTAAACCCATTGCAAAAGGGTAAAAGAGGTATCATGGTATCCGTCTGTCCTTCTGTTCTTCCGTCTTTCCCGTCGGAACGCGTCGATCTCAAAACCTGAAAGAGCTAAAGACTTGAAATTTGGAACGTAGGTCCGCGCAAAACCAGTTTCTTTCCGATAATCGATAACTTTTTATCGATAAAAATCGATATCGAAATTCTGTTATTTGAGCCAATCTCTTAGGTTTCAAGAGCCAGATTCAGCCAACTTGACAAGCACCTTCTAAAATTATATATATAAATGAAGTATCTATGCGAATATAGGGTATGTTTCGATCCTGTACCTGTCATAATGTAAAACATAGTTTCGAGAGATCCTGAGCATATTAATGGATCTATATATAGGGTATTTCGCAATCCTGTACATCTAGTAATGCACAATATTATAGGGTATTTCGCTTATAATAATGCCCAATATTATAGGGTATTTCGCACTCCCGTATATCTAATAATACACAATATTATAGGGTATTTCGCTTATAATAATGCACAATATTATAGGGTATTTTCCAAGCCTATACACCATAAATGCACAATATTATAGGGTATTTCGCAATCTTGTACATCTAGTAATGCACAATATTATAGGGTATTTCGCTTATAATAATGCCCAATATTATAGGGTATTTCTCAGTCCCGTATATCTAATAATGCACAATATTATAGGGTATTTCGCTTATAATAATGCACAATATTATAGGGTATTTTCCAAGTCTATACGCCAATAATGCACAATATTATAGGGTATTTTCCAAGTCTATACACCAATAATGCACAATATTATAGGGTATCTATCAGTCCTGCACATCCAATGAACCACAACTTTGTAGGGTATTTTTCAAACCACAAAATTCGAATTGAATTTTCGAATATTCCATTCTGCTTTCTGCGCAGTTTCGTAAACAAACAAGAAGTAGAGGAGGAAGAAGAAGAAGAGGAAGAAAAGCGACTTGTGAAACGTGCCAGGTAAATGCGTATAACCAAAGCCGGGTCACATTTCCAGCCCAAAACCCAATACACAAGGCCTGTAATACAGTTAGAAAAAGAAAAAAAAGAAAAAAAAACATCTGCTCATTTGCGTCAGACTCAATCAACAGCTCAGTTATTGCCCAGGTAAAGGTAAAGTCTGGCGTTTTCACAACATGGTCAAGGGCGTCGCCTTCAAAATACCCTAGCAAAGGGTATTATAGGTTTGTCAATTCCTAGAACTCTTTCAGAGGTTATTATAATATTGTATTTTCCGTAAAAGTTAGCATTTTGTAAGTTTTTATTTTTCTGATTGGATTTCAGAGCGAAGTTTTAGCCGGTTTCTAACTATCCATCAATTTACCTGTCTATGTTAACTGGGCCATCCGTGAAGCTATCTTTATGAAACAAGTTTCCCAACTTTATATATTTATATCGGAGTTGAAGGCATCGAGTTTCCATATCATAAAGCTCTTATAGGAATTATTGACTAAAACTTTCTTGGGAAACTTCTCTTATATGACCTGCACTTGGGTAATAGCTCCCATTGAAATAATCGACTTAGATTCTGGTTTTGTAGGATATGAACAAATTTATTATGTTCTTTTCGTATACTTAAGCCCTACTCAGCATTAATGAGCTAGCATATCTCTTAATCTCTATATATTATACAGTTCCCTAACATAAAAGTAAAATCTTCTCATCGGAATACTTTATTATATAGTTCCCTGACATATAGGATGCATACTTTCATCGGATTGTAGATCCCTAGCTCAGACATATGTCAAAGCTTTTCATCGGATTACTTTTCATGTAATCCCCCAACATAGCAGTAAAATCTTTTCATAGAACCACTATAGTACAGATAAGTAGAATCTCTTATTCGGTTATATTATATCATATAATTCCCTTTTTTGATCGGATAATCTTTTTATCGAAACACTATATTAATTAGTTCCATATAAGTCTAATCTTTTCATCAGACTATTATGTTATATAGTGCCCCTACTTATAGATACATCCTTTCATCGGTTTACTATATCATGTAAATCTCTAACATAGAAGTCAAATCTTTTCATCGGACTACCATACCACGTTGATTTCTAACATCTTTTTATCGAATAACCTAGTCAGTAAAGTCTGTTTATCGCAACACTATATCATAAAGTTCCCATCTAGAAAATATGGTCTATGTTGTTTTTATACCCTGAACCCATTAAAAATGGGTAAAAAGGGTATATTGTATTTGTGCAAAATCCAAATGTATGTAACAGGCAGAAGAAAGTATCTCCGACCCCATAAAGTATATATATTCTTGATCAGCATCAATAGCCGAGTCGATCTAGCCATGTCCGTCCGTCCGTATGTATGAACGCAAGGATCTCAGAACCTATAAGAGCTAGAGACTAGATGTGGATGCTCCTAGTTCCCGCACAGATCGAGCTTGTTTCCGATAATCGATAACTTGCCCCGTTTCCAAGCAATCGATAAAAATCGATATCGATATCCTGTTTTTTGGGCAATTTTGGTAAATAATAAGAGCTAGAATCAGCAAACTTGACATATAGCTTCTAAAATAGAATATATATATGCATTTGATGTTGGATGAAGAGGGTACAGGGTGTTCCCTAGTCGGTAGCTTCCGACTAGAACCTCTTGTTTATCCCTATAAGAACCTAAAGTTCTACTATGTTACCAATATATATTCCTCTTAACGATATTTTACTATATCATATAGTTCCGTTGGGAACAAAAGCGTCTTTGTCTAACAAAAACATCTGCAGGGTATTTGAACTTCGATTGTAGCTTTGTTTCTTTCTTGTTTCTCTGTTTTTATTTTGGCATTTGCTGTTCGTATTATCTGTTGCTCTGACGGACTTTGAATTGGAATCGCTTTGGGGCAACTGGCTCGCTGAGTCACCAGCAATAACAGCCTTTCCCCTCTACCCCTCTCCCCCCCACCTACCCACCTAGCTAACCTGCGTTAGCTTCACGTGACGTTCCACCTGGCGGGGGTATTTTTTTGAAAACACGTTTTTTATTGACATTTTATTTGTTTAAATCGCTTTTTTTTTTCTGTCTGTCGCAGCTTTAATAAATAAATGTTGTTTATCTTCTCATTAGCAAGAGTTCGTAAATTATTTGCAGCATTTGAAATACTTTGTCGCAGCTCAAACTTCATTTAAGAAATATGATTTAAAAATAAGCTCAACACATTTTTGAATTAGCAAAATCCACAGGAAGTCAAATTAGTTGGTTCGTCTTAAGGGTGGCCCACTGTACCTAGCTGCTCTTTCAGCTTGAGACTGATAAATTACATGGATCATGCTGCATACCAAACCAACCGCCGCGGCTTTATAATTAACAGCAGTCCCCTTCCCCCTCCCCCGCCCCCCACTCAGTCAACCCCTCCGAGACCCAGGCCCAAGCTCTGCTTAGCAATTGCGGCACATAGCTGCAGTTTCTAAATATAGTGCTAGCTGGCCAACAGGCAACACTCGCATTGTTGAACCAAAGTAAAAGAGAAATTCTTCAAAGTTTCCATGAAGAGAGAAGATGGTAAATGTAAAGCTTTAAGCTTTCACTTAAAAGAGCTTTTGTATTTCAATAAAAAAAATATTTAATTAAATGAGTTAACAATACATTGATCACAAATATTAGTCATATTTTCAAACAAATGATGTATTAAAGCACAATGAGCTTTAAGTAAGGCTTTGAAAACTGGCTTAAAGCTTAATGCTCTACAGTATTCTTCACACGTTCTAATTAATATTATCTCAAATGGATATTAATTTGACTGTCTTAAAATGCACAAGCTTTAAGCTTAATCAAATAGCTTTTAGTAAAGTCAAGAGCTTTAAGCTCTACATATAATTTTTTCGCTTAAGTTTAAGGCTTGCGTATTTAATTCTGTATAAAATCTAGTATTAAACAATTTATAACATTTTTCAAATAAGCTTTTAATCAAAGCCGAAAATTGTGTAAGTCTTTAAAAGTAAAGCTCTCTTCGAGCTTGCATTGTCCATAATTAAAAGCTTAAAGCTGCCTTCTACTAAGCTTTAATAATATTGACTAAACTGTCCTATTGAAATTTTGGCTTGTCAAAGTTTGCAAGCTTTTATTTGTAGTTCATCCCAGCGAATGTGTACTGTACTTAATAACCTCGCATGTACCTTTAAGTTTTGCTCGAGCTAGCTTTAATAAATAAGTCAACTTGAATCTTTAAGCCTTAAATTCTATTGAACTTTTCGCTTGTTTAACTATGAAATGTTTTTATTTGTAGTTCACCCCAGCGAATGTGTACTGTACCTAGCTTTATCTAGCTTGCTTAAAGCTCTAACTTCTACACAGCTTGTCGCCTGTAAAACTGTGAAAGCTTTTTTCTGTAGTTCATCCTTGTGAATGTGTACTGTACTTAACTGCCAAGTATACTAGAATGCCGCAAAAAACAACAACAACAAACACATTTCACTTTCGTTTAAAAAAGGGGCTTGTTAACGTTTTTTTAGTCTGTCGGATGGATATGGACATGGACATGGGACATAGGAGGGCAATAAGTATAGACAGCGACGCCACCATGAAAAATGAAAATGATATGACCATGTATGGGGGGTGGGGCAGTGCAACAAGCGGACCGCGGCAACAATAAATTAAGATTCTATTTTTGTACAACTGGCCATGCAACAAGTTAGACCTAAAATAGACGCCAAGTGGACAC